ATGTCAAATCCTTCACTTCCAGGTTTTGTTCAAAAGATGTGCCTGTACATGTCCTGGTATTATACCTTTCTCATTTGTGAACATTTTCATTGGACACCATTTAATGATCTTCTTAGATAATTGCATTTCTTCTTGACCAGTTTATTTTTTTTCATATATATATGAAAAGGTTAATAATGCTGGCCTGCTTGAAGCTAATCGTGTCATCACACCAGAAGGGTAGGCAGGCTTATGTTTAATGCTTTCATAAAAACTCTCATATACAACTGGTCAATGGTTAATGATATCCTTTTATAATCTAAAAAACAGATATGAGCTGAGTTTTGCTACAAATGTTCTTGGAACTTACACCTTGACTGAGTTGATGTTACCACTCCTCGAGAAGGCTGCACCTGATGCTCGTGTTATCACAGTTTCCTCTGGTGGAATGTACAAATCTCCATTGACTACTGATTTACAGGTAAAAGAAAATTCTCAATCTCTCAATACCTTGATCTTGCTAGAAAACTTAATATCTGATAAACCATATTGCAGTTTAGTGGTGACACATTTGATGGGGTGGTACAGTATGGTCGGAACAAGAGAGTTCAGGTAAAATAATAATGGTCTTGGAAAAACGCACTTGTAAGAAAATTGTTGTGGAAAGTAATTTTGAATATTCTAGAATTACTTAGTGCACGCATTTGATGTTATTTATGTGATTTTTAGGACATTAATGTGAATGGTGCATAGCCTGTATTCTTACTAAGTGCATGCTTTTAAGTTATCATTGTGGTTAAGTTCATAATGTTAGCGTCAATGCATTTAGTAAGCACGAGTCTAGAAGACTCTATTGGCACCTATAAAAACCTTCCTTGTAATGTTGTTATGCTAGAGTGAAGTGTTTTTAATGATAGACGTGAGCTTGATGACTATCTTTAAAGTGAACCCGTCGATAAAGTAGGGAGTAATCCTTTCTGACTTTTTACAGAGGAACAGCTTTAGAGTTCTTCCATTCATTATGTTTCAGAACCAAGTAAAAAAGCTTACTACTTGGTCATGAGTCTACCAAACATTTGTCCGTCCTTTACATTTTGTATGTGGGCTTCTTCGTATCTGGTGTAGTATCGATAAGCATGATGTACAGACATGTAATGATCCTCCGATCAACAAATGATATCAGGAAAGTTTCGTTCATATATCTTGCTTGTTTGCTCCCCATCTAAACTACAACTCTCTCTACTCTCTAGAACGAAATCATATCATGTTCGTCAAAGCTGCCTTCAACTCAATGGATTGTATATCTTTCATTTCAGATTGCACTGACCGAAAAATGGGCTGAAAAGTACAAGGATAAAGGTGTTGGTTTCTACTCTATGCATCCAGGGTGGGCCGAGACGCCTGGAGTAGCCAAGAGTTTGCCAGATTTTTCTAAATTGTAAGTTAATCGTCTTGATACAAGATCCTTGCTTTAATACAAGTTATGATACATGAAATTTTATGCTTTGTAGGTATGAAGGTAAACTTAGAAGTAGTGAGGAAGGTGCAGATACAGTTATCTCGTTGGCACTACAACCAAAAGAGAAGTTGGTTCCTGGGGCATTTTACTTTGACAGAGCTGAAGCACCAAAACATCTGCCATTAACAGGCACCAAGAACTCTCATTCTGCCATAGACTCCATAGTTGAGAAACTTGGGTCTTTTGCTGGCTTATAAGGAGGATATAGGAAATATTACTTGGATGGATACCTTTTACTTAATAAATAATTACTTTTTATTTATTATTAGTTATAGCAATATTTGGCGATACTTTGATAAATCTGCAACATGTATCAAAAGTGAATTATGTGTACAATGTATAAGTATTATAGTTGTTTTAAAATATATTAGGGCTTGTTTGGTAACACATTATACTAAAAATGTGTGATAAATGTATTATCCATCGATAAAACTTATATTATATGTATTTTATAAATTACTATCTGTAATATGTGATAAGTGGAAAAAAATTATTGTTATAAATAGTAAATATTTTCTCAATATAATATTACTTTAATCTACTTTTAATTGTGACAATTTTCTTTTTTAGAGTCAAATTCCAAAAACTTTGACTAACACTTTATAATATATTTTTTCATTATATAATTTTTATACTTGCCTTTGGATTGTAACTAGTAATCCTTATAAAATAAATTAATTAATTTACAAAAAAATATAATCATAATTTTATTTACATCAAACTCATATAAATAAATATATATTGACTGATAGATTTGAGTATAGTTTATCAATACCGGCAGTGTTTACGTGGAGGAAGACAAGCCATGAAGCATAATAGGGAAATTTAAATGCTGAGAGAGAAGTCTTTATAAAGACGGAAACCCATTGCTGTAAAATTCAAATTTTGATTTTGCAGTGTCTGTAACTTCAATTCTCATCATGTTTATTGTCAAGGTAGACACGTTTTTTTCATTTCACTTTTTCTCTCTCTTACATTTGGTTTGATTTTTGCTGATCCAAATGCAGACATTGAGAGCTTCGGTATTTGGGCTTTATGGATATATGAATTTCACTAAATCTGCTTTTTCGTAAGTAATTTTAATTTTATGGGTTATTGATTTTCTAAGAGTGTATGATAATAGTACTGAACAGTGTTTGTTAGTCATGCTGGAAATAATTATCTTGAAATTATTTCGCGTTCATGATTTGATTTGGTGTATTAAATATAGTTTAGTCATCATTGCTTATGCATTAGTTAATAGTTATACCACCTAGTGAGTAGTGAATAGGGTGTATAACAAGGGATTAGATAATAGCGTGACTAATTCATGTTATTACATCGATTCTAATAACTGAGTTTTAAATTTGTTAATTAATGATATTTTTGGTACTATTTGAACAAAAGTTATTGAGTTCGGGGGCTTCTTACTCATCCCTTGCTTACAAAGCTAGATGTTGATTGAAGAGTAATCATCACTTAGATTTTGCTTATGAGTTGCAACATGGGTAGATTTGACTGTCTAATAATTTCTGATTATACAGTAGGATGATGACTAATTTGTTACTGGTTTCTGTTGTGTCTTTGGATATTGACTTTTGGCTAGGTAAATCAGGCTGATAATTCTTGTTTTTGTTTTTGCATTTGGTGAAGTGAAAATTTAAGTGGGAAATTTTCATTTGCCTAATGGTTTTGTTTGAGCAACTTGTTCTTGGAGGACTTAAAAAGGAAGTATGTCAAAAGGGCTTTTTTAATCTTTTGAGGCTTGGAATTTAATTCTGCATTTGAGGGTTGAGTCAAGTTCAATAAATGGATGGATGGATCTCAGATTAGCAAAAAATCTTGATTTGTTTTTGTGATCAAGTTACATTTTTCCCCCTTCTACTGAATGTATTTGAAAAGTGATAAGGAATTTAGTTACATCATGAGGTAGTATAAAAAAAAGGGTAGCCCTGTGCATGAAGCATCTCGCGTTCACTCAGAGTCAGGGGAGGGTCCAAACTCGAGGGTAGTGATGTAGGCAGCCTACCTTGTCAAAATGTCAATGGATGTTTCCACTGCTAAAACCCGTGACATATAGGTTTACACCGAGACAATTTTACTGTTGCTCCAAGTGTTCCCTTCAGTTTCAAGGATACGATAAGTTAATTTTTGGCAATAATTGAATTTAGGGAACATGCAAAGAATTTCAAGCCAGAAGATATGCAAGTTCAAATGGAAGGAAAGAATTGCATTGTCACAGGTGCAAATTCCGGCATAGGTTTCGCAACTGCTGAGGGTCTCGCTTCACGGTGCTTATCTTACCTTAAGTTCTTCTTTCTCAAAGAGTTGGCATTATGAGATCAAATTCAAGAACTATACTTTGTTCCAGGTAT